ACCCAAACTATTCTATGATTCCATGATATGGGGAGAGAAATGCAGCTCCTGTAGAACTGAAATTTTTCCTGCTGGTTAACTCCTCTCCCTCCTCTTCCTCCTCTGACTGGCTTAGACCTGGGCATCCCTGCCACTGGCAGCTCTTCTTAGGTAAATGCAGCCAGACTTGCGCATGAACTTCATGAATGGCATTACCAGTACCTTAAAAATAGAACATTCCTCCATTTACTATTTTTGTTCTGCCCGTTTGTTCACTTTGCACCATCCCCCCTTTCAAGCCCTGCCCGTGCTTTTCAAACACTGGCTGAAAAATGAGGAGGTGGAGGAAGGGCGCACAGCCGTGCTGCACTGCGAGCTGACGAAACCCAATGCACCCGTGGAGTGGAGGAAAGGAGATATGGTGCTGCAGCCAAGTGACAAGTATGAGATCCGGCAAGAGGGGACACGTGTTGAGCTCTTCATCTATGATGCCGAGGCTCAGGATGCTGGCGATTATACGTGCGACTCGGGGGATCAGCAGACCACTGCATCGCTCCAAGTCAAAGGTAGGAGAAGCCTTGCTTGAAGGCAGAGAATTTGTGGCTGTGGCTGTCCTCCATAGGGGTGATAAGGCAGTTTTATCACTGAATTATCATTAACATTCTGTATATGCGAAGTACAACTGCAGGAAAGGGTTTGATCCGCGATTTGTCCTTCAAAGAATAATCTAGTGCCTTTTAAACCCAATGCTATTTCTGCAGTTGCAATTTTGATCTCTCTGTGAGAACTGGGAGCAAAACTGCAGCTGCTGCTAATGGAGGGTATGTACAAGAGCATTTAGAAAACTTGTCTGCTGCCGGACAATAAGAGTGGAGTATTTCACCATACCTAGAACAGGCCCGTTTTAAATGGAGCATGAGCAGCCCAAGATTTGTGGCTCTTTTTCTTTTCTTTGCGGCTACGTTTTTGGATTTTATAGTTTTATTCATTTTATAATTTTATATACTGATTCTATAATTTTATTAATTTTAAAGCAACAAGATCATGCTTTTAGATCCTGCATTTAGCCCCCATAACCAGCTCCTGTTCAGTGTGTGTGGTTTCAGCAATTAAATGTCCAAATGCTGTGATTGGTACTGCTGTGCCTCTAACTGCTTAAGCTGAAAATCGCGGGTATGCCCACATGAAGCCCCTTAGAGGTCCTGTGACCTATGGCGATCCTTTATGGAGCACCAGTGGACACCCTCACAGTACCAGCGGCTGATCCCCACCAGTGTCTGGCACAACTGAAAGCCTTGCTCTGGGCTTGGCCTTGCCAGCACCAAGTTGTGGTTCAGAAAGATGGGAACTGCCAAGCCGGAGAAGTTGCAAGCAAGTTTCTCACCTCTGAGCACTGTCACTGATGCAGTTGCTTCTCCACCGCAGTACTACCCGTGCTGTTTAACACTGAGCTGAAAAACGTAGAGTCTGAAGAAGGGGGAACGGCTGTCTTGCACTGTGAGATCTCCAAGCCGGACGCCCCTGTGGAGTGGAGAAAAGGAGGGGTGGTCATTCAGCCCAGCGACAAGTACGAGATGAAGCTGAAAGGCAGCATTGCTGAGCTGATCATCCATGGTGTAGAGCCTGATGACTGCGGGGATTATACCTGTAGCACCGGGTACGAGATCACCACAGGTTCTGTGTATGTGCAAGGTAAGGTGAAATGTGGTGGAAACGCTCCGATTTTGCTGCCTGGATTTCTTATTCCAAAATCTTTGACAGTAACTGGCCAAACTTGTCTCAGATGCAAATAGTTGAAAGTCCATTAATTTATTTCCTGATTTCAGTGAAGATATAAACACTTATATCCAGGCTGAGGTTGGAACAATGTTTATAAGTTAAGGTAGTTCCAAGTACTGACCATCCTGTGTACCACAGCAGGTGGTGGTACTGCTGAAAAACTATTTGCTTGGACCAGTGGTTGTAAAAAATACTGAAATTCTTGTTATTACTTCTATCATTGTTGATATTCTTATTACTCTTTTAAAGCGCTGTAAGTAAACATTTAAAACTTAAGCTACCTCTCCTCCTCATACAATGTCCGTGCAGATGGTCGCACACACAGGAGAGCCAGTCATGACCTGGTCATGGAGTAGAGTTTCCTCCCAAGGAAACAGTGTTTGCAGACACACACACTGCGCTTGCAAGTGGGTGAAGGATGGAAGGTGGTTTCTAAATCCCTTAAAGAAAATTTTAGCTCTTTTTTTCCCTGGAACAGCATTACAAGTTTAACTCTCCTGGACAACTGTTGCTTGGGCTAGTTCTGCAGGAAGCGACATGTATATGTTTATGCTTTTCTTTTCCTTTGGCACCTTCTCTTGCTCTGTTATACAGAAGAAGCAGCAGTCATAGTTTCTGGTTTAAAGAACACAGACGTCTTTGTGGGCGAGTCAGCCACATTCACCTGCGAGCTCTCCCACCCGGGCGTGAAGAACGTGCAGTGGTGGCTCGATGGATCTCCCCTTCACAACAACTTTGTGACTGAAATCTCTGAGCAGGACGGGATGATCCACACTTTAACCCTAAATGACGTGGCGTGCCATGACTCAGGCACTGTCACCTTCAGAGCTGGGTCTCTTATATCTTCAGCTAAATTATTAGTCAAAGGTATTTCGTTGTTAGAAAGAAACACATGGCCACCTCTGGACTTGCTCAGTGTGCTAGTGCTTCTGCCTTCCAGGCTACCCTTACGAAATTTCTTCACAGTTCTTCTGTGTCCTGCAACCCTCCACTTCTGCAAGTCACCCATACTCACGCCAGAAGTCTTAGACGTACAACCACATCGATTTTTTTCAGTGGTTCAGGTGAGGAAGGGTTGCAGGGTCAGGGCTGCTGCTTTCACCTGACATCGAAGTAGAGATGAACACAAACCCCTGTGGTAGCACCTGATTTTTTTATCTCCCCTTCAACTGTTTTTGTAATACCATGATATGTTATGTAGCTGGAAATTCACAAAATTACTGCTGTGCTGCTCCATAGCTAGGCTACTGGCGCTGAGCTCAGTACGCTCCCAAGACGAGATTTTGGTCTTGTTTTATTGTTGGTTCCAGAACTCTTCCTGGAAACCAGAGGCTATGTGACGTTGCAGTAACATAGTGACAAAATGAGCCTCGTTTGTGGACTGCCACGGTCATCACTGCACTAGCAAAGCTTTCTGGTCTGTTGAATACATATTTTTCTCATTTGGTAAGGGTAGCCACGAGCCGCAAATAACACTGAGCTCCAGACTTGATAAAGCAAGCTCCTTCACATCCAGTCCTTTTATAGCCATTGGGAAAAGCTGTTATTTTTCAGACAAAAGTAACACTTATTCCTTGCTTGGAAAAGGGATTTGTATATACGGAGATATAAAGAGTTAAGAGTTCTTTATTAAAATCTACCCCCATGCTATAACTGTCTACCATAACAGGAATGATCCACAATATGGAATTGTAGTCAGTGGTTGATGTCTCCTTCTCTGTATAACGTGTCCCTTGTACATTCAGAAAATTTAACACTCTGCAAAGATAAAATGCCAGATCACTTCCTCCTAATATCAGAATTATGCAGCAACAACATGGTGTGCAAACCTACAAATCCCAGGTCCATTTGTATCAATTTTGAGTTTCACATTTTCAGAGTCAGAACCTGGTTCTGAGCTCTCTAGACAAAGAACTCCAGTGGGCCCAGAACATAAATTAAAAAGAAATGCATCGTTAAGCATTCTACTCAGTCAAATAAAGGGCTCCTGAGAAGTTTTCATTTCACAGAATCACAGCATCATTAATGTTGGAACGGACCTCTGGAGATCATCTAACTCATGCTAGTATATATATGTATGTGGATATTTTGGGCATCTTTTAAGGCAAGATTTCTTTAATGTGAACCTGAATCACAGTAGTATATGACTATAATTGGATTAGGATGAGAAAGGTATTTAAAAAACACTCCAGTTACACTGTGCTCAATAACACTTGATTTAATAAGAAAGTAAAACACTAGTAAAATTCTAACTGTGCTTGTATTAACAGCCCATTTCGTGCACTTTATTTTGCACAGAAATTAAAAAATAGATCTGTCTTTGAACTAGGTGTATTTCAGTCTATCTAGCTATCCATGGCTTGTTCTTCATCAAGGAACAAGTTGTCTTTCTCTCTGTTCCATGTGCCCCATTCTCAGGGTGTAAGGTGTGCTTGTAACTGGATATACTCTATAATAAGTGAGATCTCATGATCTCAGCTTTTCTTGTTGGGCCTTCACAATATCATTGCCCTACAACCGCATTCATTCGGTGGCCCAGCATGATGGCATCTTCACGTATGGGTGGGGGGAAAATGGAAAAGGTTGAAGGAGCTGCTGCCTTCTTCTGACCCCTTTGGGCGGGGTGAGAATTACAGGCCCCAGTGTACACGTTGGCTCCTAAGTCCCAGGGAGCTTTCTGCCATTCTGCATGGCTGAATAGGGCCACCAAGGTCTCAGCCTAGCAGTGGCAAAGAGTAATGGGACACTGGAACCAGGACGCCTTCTTTCTGTAAGACCACAGGTGACATTTGCTGTGAGGAGCACATGTCTGCATCTTATGAAAGGCGACGGTATTGTACTCCCCAGCTGCACAGATACCTTCTTGCTTCTTCAAAGCGTAACCAAAACATCTGTATGATCTGCCATTGATGCCTCCTCTCCTTAAACACACATGCAGACACACGGAGTGGTACAGGGAGCCTTAGAGAGCAGGATCAAGCCTTGCAACAAGTTTCCAAAAGACATTTGCAAAACTATCTTTGCTTCCCAAGGTCTGCTAGTAGCATCCCAAATCCTCAAGATTTGGGACCAGTTTCAAGAGGAGCATTCCAGACAGAGGACCAGTGTAGTTTATTCTAGCTGGCTTGTGATCAGAACAACTATTTGAAAGATAAGGACATATATCAGCTTTCTCTGACTGTCATCTTTTTATGTCCCATTGTAGCCCTATCAATTTTTTTGGGAAGTTGACATAGTGCTGCTGAGAAGGCTGTGGCAGTGAGACTTCCATTTTCAGGCTTCATTGAGATTTTTCTTTTTAGCATATATGTTGCAGTTGTATGCGGGCGGTCCAATTCAACATCTCAGGAGGGACTCCTTGGCTGTTTTGGAAGCTCACAATATTTTGAGGTTAGATATATCTACTGTGCCCTCCAGGTGCCTCCCAAGAAGCAGAGCTAGTATTTTGAAAGAAAGACTGGATGCTTAAAAGCAGCCTCGTGGATCTCACCTTCTTCAGAAGAGCTGCATATCCAGCTTCTCTCCTCATTTTATGGGCTCTCAGTCTGAGATTGCAATGGTTCATGGTGCATCTCTAGATCAGCTCCTGTAAAGGAAATAATACGATTTTTCCCCAGACTATGTCTCTGTTGCAAAGGAACACATGGTTAATCAAAACAATAGTACCTGTCTCCTGTGAAGTGCCCTTTTTTGTTACAGTTGTCCTGGATCTTTGCTCCTCGTGCTGCCTATGACTCCTGCCACATAGCCATCGCCACCGCAGGATGGGACTGAGGATTTGCATTTGAGTATTACATTTCTTTCCAATGAGTGGTTGCAGTTTGCTCATACAAGGAGCCTCCAGTAGAGTTTGTGGCATTTTCCTATTGCTATGTGAAGTTGAGAGTTACAGGGAACCACCCACAGCAGCCCATCCGTTGCAGTCCTCTGTCTCACACTTGCGCTCCTGCCACATTCTGGAAAGCAGAAGTGTTTCGCATCCAGTGCTTCCTAGTCTGGAGGATTTCGGCAGCGCTGGGAGAAAAACTAAGCCTGGAGGGAAGCCCAGCAGATGTTCTGCAGAGATGTTCATATTCAGGACTGTTAAAGCACAAGCCTTAATTGCTGGTGGCCCATTTTCCAGTGTGATAGTTATATTCTAATGTACCAGTTTTGCTTCAATCCCGTTTGATGCTGACACAAGCACAGACTAAACTGCTAATCCCCAGTGTGCCCAGCCAGCTTCCTGCTTGCACTGCCACTCTGCTTGCTCCCCACCGGCTCTGTGCTTGTCAAAAATCTCTAAGTTGCCATTTCCATGGGGATCCACTAATGCATGTCCTTCCTGACGTGTTGGTTAACAGATCCAACCATTGAAGTGGTCAGTCCCATGCAGGATATAACTGTTGATGAAGATGGCACAGCAGAGTTCATATGCCAATATTCTAGGCCAGTACACGCCATATGGAAGAAAAATGATCAGGAAATACATGCAGATGGGCAGCGAGTGATTATCGATCAGGACTGGAATGTAAGCATGCTAAAAATTAAACCTACGGTACCAGAAGACACTGGCATCTATTCTTGTGAAGCTGAAGGCACTAAAGTGATGGCTGCACTTGATGTTCAAGGTGAGGTCTTCCAGCCAAAGAGGAAGACTATCATGGGTTCCAAATAAGAGGTGGAAAAATCATGGCAGCACCTCACAATAAGTGACACATCAGATACCCGCTCTTTGGTGTTCAGTCCAGTTCTGATAGCGATGATAAAAGTAGTTGGGAGTTAATGGGAATTGAATGAAACTGCAGCATTTCACTGGAGCTTAGTTCTAATTAACGCTCACTTATTACACCACTTACAAGTCATACCTCTTCTACAATGAACTGGAACATCAGTGTTTTCTGCTGAATTCTTGTAAAATCACAGATGTAATGTTGGTCCAAAGGAATAATAAGACGACTTTTTGCTGTTACAGAGTGCTTTTTATACACAGTGTACCTCAAAACCAGTAGCTAATGGATAGTGTGGAATTTCATTTTATTTTCAGCTAAGCTAAGGTAGCTTGGTATTTTACTTATTTCAAATACTGATCACTCGGGAACTACCTTCTCACTTGGCATCAGCATTTGTGAAGGCCCTGAGAAACAGTAAATAAAAATATTAACAATAGGTTTAGGATTTTATATTGATGTTTCTTATTTTTTTTCTGCTGTGAATGGAATTGTTGTTTTTGGTCACCAGGTGAATTAGTAGGATCAGCAAGAGCAATAGTCCTGATCTGATTTCTGAATATTTGTGTTTTGTTAGGCAATTATGCCCTCTTGCTTAACAAGAGTTGTGAGTACAGAGGAGCAGGGTATTATTCATTATAATATTTTCTACATTGATAAGCACTTTCCATTTTAGGGATTTAAAAAGATGTTAATGAACATAATCTAAAAGCTTCCCAGAGGAGGTGGGATTTGCAATTGGCTGCTTTTCATAGTTAGGGAAACCAGTGCTCCAAAAGTGCACAAATAAACAGGATTTGTTCTAACAAAATTATACATTCTCCAAGGATTCACAAACCCCTTATTGTTCCCTATAAGTACGAATATTATAAAATACAGATTTTTTTAGTAACTCATGCTTTTTGGTTTTTTTGCTATTAAATAAATTGTTCAGCTTTTTTTTTTTTTTTTTTTTTTTTTTTTTTAAATAAATTGTTTTGTTTTTTTTTTTTTTTTTTTTTTTTTTTTTGCTTAGAACAATTCCAGATAATGGTTCTAGAGATCTAAACAGGAACGTCTCAGGGCGTTGGTTTATATTATAGATCATGCTGACCATTGTATGATATTTGTGTAAACTGTATTTACTCAACCATGTGTTCCCACTTGTTGTGCATGTAATTTGTCCGTGTAGCTGGTCTAACACGAATTATATTCACATGCACCAGCCCACATTTAATTTTGCATCAGGCTGATTGCTTATGTACAAATGCCAACTGATGCATGACTCTGAGGGCAAATGGAGTGTGTAGATATATGCATGTGTCTGACTGCACAATTCACCATAAATGCACGAGAAAAATAAGCCTTATACATTATCACAGAGCTTTTGTAATAATTCAGAAATTTACTATTCAAAATACTGTTAATGCAGGTTTTAACTTTTTGTGTGTTTCCTAGAGGCAGACTTTTTAACTCAGATGATAGTCACTATAGCTTCGCCAGCTATAATATTCTCTCATATTTGCTTTGCATGAAAGGTAGTAAGACTTTATCATGAGCTGTCAGTGGATTCGCCTCTCCCCAATTATGATGATAATTGCGCTGCCTGGGAGATCTGTGGGAAATGTTTCCTGCTGTGGGACAGAAGGAATTTGATTATACTTTATCTTTCTGAGCTATCCCTTCCTATCGACTGTTGGCCTGATTCATTGAAACACCAACATTTTTTTCTTTATTTGTAAAAACAGAAGTCAGGTTTCTGGAGGAAGTCTAGATGGTCCTAGAGGTTTATCATTATTTTTAAACTATCATAGAATCATAGAATCATTAAGGTTGGAAAAGACTTCTAAGATCATCCAGTCCAACCGTCAACCCAACACCACCATGCCCACTAAACCATCTCCCTAAGCGCCTCATCTACACGTCTTTTAAATACCTCCAGGGATGGTGACTCCACCGCTTCCCTGGGCAGCCTGTTCCAAGGCCTGACCACTCTTTCAGGAAAGAAATTTTTCCTAATGTCCAATCTAAACCTTCCCTGGCGCAACTTGAGGCCATTTCCTCTCGTCCTATCGCTGGTTACTTGGGAGAAGAGACCGACCCCCCCCTCGCTACAACCTCCTTTCAGGTAGTTGTAGAGCGCGATGAGGTCTCCCCTCAGCCTCCTCTTCTCCAGGCTAAACAGCCCCAGTTCCCTCAGCCGCTCCTCATCAGACTTGTGCTCCAGACCCTTCACCAGCTTCGTTGCCCTTCTCTGGACACGCTCCAGCACCTCAGTGTCCTTCTTGGAGTGAGGGGCCCAAAACTGAACACAGGACTCGAGGTGCGGCCTCACCAGGGCTACTTAAAACGTTTACTACTTAAAACGTTTTAAAATATGGTATTGTGTTAGAGCATGGTTGAAATCAACAGCTAAACCTACAAGCACAATTTATCATATCCACATCCTTTCCATCAGCTTTCCAGCAGTGGGAATCATCCAGTGCTCCGAGGCTTGTTAATATTCAGATATGCATGGCCAAACAATTAATACTGTTCGTTGTCCTTCTTTGCTAGCCAAGAACAGCATTGTCCAAGGCTTGGAGAATGTGGAAGCCGTGGAAGGAGGGGAAGCCCTCTTTGAATGTTATCTTTCCAAGCCCGAGTGCTACAATTACAACTGGCTGATTGACGATGAACCTGCCAAAACTACAGAAAACACTGAGATGGTTTACTTTGAAAATGGACGCAGGCATCTTCTGCTGCTGAAGAACCTAACTCCCCAGGACAGCTGCAGGGTGACTTTTATGTGCAGCGACGCGGTGACCTCAGCCTTCCTGACGGTGAAAGGTAACTGAAGCACTCGTGCATGGGGAGTCTTGAATTTCTGGTTGGAAAGGGCAAATGAACCAGGAAAATATGATGAGTAGCAGAGAGGAAAAGTTGCATTTGTTGCTACTAAGAAGTTGCAACTACCTAAGTCGTCTTCCCACACAGTAACTGGATGATGTTTTACAATTTCCTTTTTTTTCTTGTTCCGTATGCCATGACACAGGTATAAGCAGCATCAGTTGGCAATGAGTTAGCAGCAAATGACTGCCTTACAGTTGTCATTATTCTGATGAGTTGGGTTGTGTTTATAGGGCTTTAGAGACGAGAGTTGTATCAGCAACAATATTATCTCTGCATCCTTGTATTTTATGCTATTACTGGAGACCCCTGTGGGGATCAGAACCCCTTTCAGAGTACAAGAACAGCCATCCTCAGTCACAGCATGGTATCTCCATTGTGGTTTTCTGCTACATGGGAAAAGAAAGACATTGCTAGGTTGGTTTTTGCTCCTGAAAGTTTTGGAAAGTTTCAGTCCCCAATGATACCTTCTGTTCTAGTGATATACATAACCTCCCTTTTAATGATCTCCTTGGTCTCCAAGGCCTGACTGTCTGGAGCTTCAGCATAAATAGTCACAAAATCTCTTGCTTGTATTTGTTTCTGTCACTGAGGGCTTGATTACCTATTTTTATCTACAGGATGGCGCCTACAGATCTTGCAGCCTCCCACAGATGTGGAGGTCTCTCCGGGGGAGAAAGCTACATTTAGCTGTGTTCTAAGTGAAGCTGTGCCAATCGCTGAAGTTGCCTGGTATAGCAATGACATGGAGATCCAGTCGGATGAGGACTGGGAGGTACAAGCAGATGGAAACAAATACAAACTTCTTCTGAAAAAAGCCCAGCCGCATCATTCTGGAGAGGTGACCTTTGCTTCCAGGGAAGCAATTGCATCAGCCAAGTTATCTGTGATAGGTAAGTGTCCGTCGTTCTAGCCCAGTGGCACTTGAAATCTCAGACTTTGGAATTGAGCTGCAACATTGAATTTTCTAATCTTTGCACTGATTCTTTCCTCTTTGCCTTGCATGTCCCAAGCTAGCATTCTTAGTCTGAGAAGATACTACTGGGCAACTTGTTCTTTGACCAGAAATAGTCACCTCATCAGAAGAAAATTATATCAGGCTAGCGATGGTAGAGACGTTCACCAGCTTTCTTTAGCTGCAGTCTTTTGTAAAATGTAACAGAGAGTCTAACAGAAATCAATTTACTCAGAGTTCAACATCACCCTCAGCAAACGTGGACATGGGAGGGAGCTGAACTGGAGTGCACACAGAAAAATTATCCAGGGCAGCAGAGAACTCTTTGAAATCTGCTAATCTACTCAAGTGCAGGGCAACCAGCTTTCCAGATTAATGAGTTGCATATTAAAATCTTCATGTGGGTGAGATCGAGGAAACACACACCTTGCCCTTCAGAGAGCTCTTTCACAAGTGGAAAAGATGATAGTTCCCTAATTCCCTCGTGGGGCAGGTTAGACCAATGATTCATCAGTGTCCATTCCAGCACCCAAGGTCTGGCTTCTTCCCACAGTGGGATAGGTGGGTCACTCAGCAAGGGTCACGCCAGCACAACCCCAGTGATGGTTATGAGATAATTGCAATGTGTTTTAGCTGTACACTGTAGTTGGGATGTTCAAGAGCCATTGATTGACCATCCATTCTTTAAATTATTACAGGTAGTCTGATTGTCTAATGATTTCTGAGACTTGAGAGATCTCTGATATATTCCAGTCATTTCCACAAAAAAATTGGTTGTTGATGGATTTAAAACAGCATTATCTTATTTTGGGCACCTACATTTTAGGAACTGAAAAATACTATCCTCATGAACTCCTCCTGTTGACAAGTTTTCTGTATGAAATCTGGCTGAAAATAGAGACAAGAAGTTTTTATGTTATGTTTGTGGTGTCCAGAATTAAAAAACTGGCTGTTGACCTTATTTGCCTTTAATTTGTTGGATTGGTACATCGTGGCAAGTCATTTACTTTGTAAATGCCTTGAACTTGAAGACTAAAAGAATTATTTCTGTCTTCTAAGCCAAAGTGTAAATTAAGTAAGGACCATTTTCCAATGTATCGAGTATGATCATCAGTAGCCAATCTGGTAGGACACCAGACCATTCCCATTATGTACTTATTTGTCATTGCCTGATGCTGTGACATATATAGCAATTACACAGAAATTGAGTGACTTGCTATTAAATTACTGGAGTTACTCTGTAGTCCAACAATAACTTGATTTCCATTAAGGTCAGACCTGAAAGAAATATGATCAAGGCCCAAAAGTACTTGAAGTTTTCAGCTAAGTTCCTTGATAATATGAACAGCATAGGGTTATCTTTATTTTGAGCTGGGTGGGACAAAGCAGCAGGAAAACATCACAACATGTGGCATTAACTATGTGAGATGATAGCTGGAAAATGAATGTTTGTCATTAGATCAGGGCAGACAAAGAAAAACTCAATGGTGCACAGGGATGTCTCCCGGTCATGGGCATGTACCCACTCAACTCTACAATAAGACAAATACTGAATCTGTTGCGCTTCCTTCTCGTTGCTTCTAGAAGGCTCTTGGTTGTTTTAGTGTAAAGCATTATTGCTCATGTCGTACATCACGGGACCTCTGTTGTGCCTTCAGCCCGCCCCGATCCACCTGAAGAACCAGAAGTTTTAAGTAAGAACAGCCACTCTGTAACTCTGTCTTGGTACAAGCCGTTGAGCGACGGCGGTTGTGACATCCTAGGCTACAATGTGGAGAGGAAAATCCCAGGTATTGGCTGGCAGTCATGCAGCAAGGGCATTATTCAAAACACGGAGTTTATGGTGGACGATCTCACCCCGGGTGAATCCTACAGATTCCGCGTCTCAGCTATAAACAAAGTTGGGGCCAGCGAGCCGGTGCACTTCCCTCAGATGGTGCGGCTAGGTGAGAACGGAGAGATGCCCCCATGGAGGACGGCAAGCTGCTGTAGACCTTGTGTTTCGCATGGCATGCCTGCTTCACCCGTTCCAGGCATCTCCTGGAAGAGTTCACTCTGTAACGTCTTTCAGTGCTTTGCTGCCAACATAATAGAGGAGAAAGAGCTTGGAAAAATTGTTCTGGGCTGCCGCAAACAAAACCTGCCACGTTGTTAGTACTCAACGCTTATTTTCTCCAAACTGCATCAAGCTGTCTTGCAGCCTGCACTGCATCCATGTGTTGTCCGGTCACCATGAGTTTCTTCTCTGGTGGAGTTAGGATGGAATGAGTCAAAAGGGGCATGTTGGAATGCGTTCGGGGTAACCAAGACCCTGGTACCAATGCAGTGGGTGGGCAGTGCTGTCTTCTTCACCCATCTTTCTCTTTCGTTATATTATTTGTGTATCTTTTTCAATAACCCCCACAAAGAAATGCTGGAGGACACAGTTCCTTTGCTGTCTGTTGGTGAAAGTTTGGAAGCTACAGTGGGATGGATAGCCACTCCCTCAACTTTTCTTTCCTTGCAACTCTTTCTGCGATAGCCGAGTGCCCAACAAATTCCTCAAAGTGAGAATAATAATAAAAAAATCCTCTTACTTAAGGCTCAGATACGCGGTGATGTTTTTGCAACATAACAACTGCCAATGCTGGACCCTGGTAACTGCATACGCTGACTTTGTCTACAACAAACCCGAGGCATTTTGGGCAGTGGTCCCCTCACCCCGGTGAAATGTGCAGAGGGGCAGGTCACGCTCAGGAGCGTGCTGCTTTTGGGAACTCAGCTGTGTGCTTTACACCCCAGTCAACATCTCCGCATTTAATGCGTCGTATAAACAGCATGCCATTGGCAGGGCTCCTTCCAAAGTAAAAAAGATAGAGATTTTTTTTTTTTTTTTTTTTTAAATTCTTTATGCTTTTTAAGTATTTTTACTCTTACTAAGCTAGTGTAAATAGATATGATTTTTTTTTTTTTTACTTTTAAGGCTGGGATGAATGCTGCTTTTAATAATCTCTTTTCTTTTTTATTCTTTTTATTGTTTCTTTCTTGTGTCACTTCAGAACTGCTTCACTTCTAAACTTTAAGATCTTTTAGAATCTGTAGGACTGCTTGAATACTGGTGATGGGTAAATGAAGACCAGCAAATAAACACAGGAATGTGAAAAATGCAACCACTTTTGCATGTATATATTTAAATGGAGCTGGTTTAACAGCTGGAAGAGCTTGTAAAGTTATTTTGTTATTATCTTTGGAAATGCAAACTTTGGATGCTGCCAGTATTTTTTTTTTTTTTCCTTTGTTGTCTACAACAGCTAAAGAATCTATAAATGAAGGATGGGATGCTTGGATATTTTATAGCGTGATCTCTGGCCTTAAAGGCAGATTATGATACTTTCTTTGTGTTAATTTACTTTTTTGTAATTACAGAGCCTCCAGTTACAGTCACCCATCCTTTGGTGGGAGGATCAGTCTCAGAAGGGGAGGCGGCTCGCTTGGAGTGCAAATTGTCAAGTGAAACTGAGGAGAGAGTGACATGGTTCAAAGGAAAAGAACAAATACAAGCTGGAGGGAGATACGAGATCCTCTCTGATGGAAAAAAGCAGATACTCATTATTCATGCATTTAAACCTGAAGATCAGGACACATACACCTGCATGGTTTCTCCAGAAGTCAAATCTGTTGCCAGCTTGTGTCTTGAAGGTACAGAGAGTGCAATCCTGTGATGTTAAAACAGTTCTGTTTATGGACATCCAGGGGCATCTCCACAGCTTGGACTGGAATTCATTTTCTTTTACAAGCTGTGATAACAATCCACAAAGAATTGTTATCTTCCTGTTCAGTTTTGCCCAGTATGTTTCTGAATCCCTAGCAGCTTTGAGCTGCTCAGATAAGATTTTCTTGAATTAGATATTTAAGGTGTGATACAGTCGTCCCTATGTGGGTTTCTGGTGCCTTTTCATAGACTCATAGAATCATAGAATCATTAAGGTTGGAAAAGACCTCTAAGATCATCGAGTCCAACCGTCAACCCAACACCACCATGCCCACTAAACCATGTCCCTAAGCGCCTCATCTACACGTCTTTTAAATCCCCCCAGGGATGGTGACTCCACCACTTCCCTGCGCAGCCTGTTCCAAGGCCGGAATGCTCTTTCAGCAAAGAAATTTTTCCTAATGTCCAATCTAACCCTCCCTTGGCGCAACTTGAGGCCATTTCCTCTCGTCCTATCGCTGGTTACTTGGGAGAAGAGACCAACCCCCACCTTGCTACAACCTCCTTTCAAGTCGTTGTAGAGCGCGATGAGGTCTCCCCTCAGCCTTCTCTTCTCCAGGCTAAACAGCCCCAGTTCCCTCAGCCGCTCCTCGTAAGACTTTTGCTCTAGGCCCTTTTGAGATGCTTTAGGGTATTCTGCCCAGCTTTCAGCTGCCACTTCAGAAAGTGAGAGCTCTTTTGTATGTTCTGCATGGTCTCTGCCAAGCCCCCTGTCCTAGACATCCCAAATGGCTTTAGGTCATAGTGCTTAGGAAGCTGAATTGTGGCCCTGCGGTGGGATTCGGTCGCCCACACACAGGCATCTAGGGCCATCGAGGCACTTCAGGATATCACCCCTGGCCTCCATCTCCTTCTGCAGAGGGACCCAGAGCACTCATAGGTCCTGCATTGTATCTGAGAGCCACATGTGGGTGTCCCAGACAACCTGGCACATCTCAGATGGCACTGGGCACTAGGCAGAGGCAAGTCAGTGTGTCTCAGAGGGTGAGTCACAACCTTCAGACTTAGACAGTCTAAACTGAAGTATCTGCAGGCAGATATCTCCACATGAGGCGGGAGTCTCAGCTCCCACTACAACCAGTGGAGATCTATTCAAGCCAGTCAGTGAAGCCCTGTCTAGCAGTAAAATAGGATGATCCTGGAATAGCTTTCCAGGCTCCACTGACAGTCTTAACCAGATATTCATTGACTGCAACATTCAAAAAGGGCAGAAATTTATTTAATGGGTTCAAATGTGAGAGGAAGAGAAAAAAAAATGTTGTTTGGCCGTGTTTTATGTGTATGCATAGAATCACAGGATAGTTGAGTTTGGAAAGGACTTCCAGAGATAGTGTAGTCCATCCCCTGCTCAAAGCAGGGTCACCTAGAACAAGTTGCCCAAGACCACGTCCAGTCATATTAATTTCACATTTTGTTCTCAACAGAATGCTTAGTTAAATGCCACTGATACTCTTCTGCCCAGGCTTTAGAATAACGTTTCCACGTGCTTTCTCAGAGCTTGCTCACAAACTTTTAACATCTTTTTAATTCTCCACAGTTCCCACAGTGACAATGCTAAAAGAGATCGCCAGGGAAGCACCCCGTGCAAGCCAACCAGAAGAGCTGGTGGATGGCCATGTCCAGCCCAGCTTGCCCCCTGAGGCTGCTCAGGAGGGAGACCTTCACCTCCTGTGGGAAGCCCTGGCCAAGAAACGCCGGATGAGTCGGGAGCCCACCTTGGATTCCATCAGCGAGGTGCCTGAAGAGGATGACAAGCTTCAGAAGTTAAGGAAGGAGGAAGCAGAGATGTCTCACTATTACTCAGAAGAGTACTCCACGTGTGATGAGCTGGCTAGGACAGGAGAAGCAGATTTCTCTTTCACAAGCTCAGATGATGAGTCTAGAGCTGGGACTCCATCACTGGTGAACTACCTCAAGAAAGCTGGGAAGACAAGTGTCAGTGTTACTAGCAAGGTTCAGTCCATCTCCACAGGCAAATTATGGAAACAGTGGGAGAAATCCAGTGTGGAGACTGTTGTGACTACCCCAGCTGCTAAGCCAGCTGAACCAGAAATACCAGATTTAGATGATCCTTCTATGAACAAGGCCGCTGTGAAGATCCAGGCTGCTTTCAAAGGCTACAAAGTCAGGAAAGAGATCAAGCAACAAGAGTGCCCAGTGTTTACTGAGACCCTCAAAGATTTCTCTGGTGAGCCTGGAAGCACTCTCCACCTTGAGTGTGTGGCCCACAGCAAAACCGACATGAAAGTCCGTTGGCTGAAAGATGGGGAAGAGCTTTCAGATGGTCGCTATTATCACATAGATAATTACAGTGATGGGACCTGCTCTTTGATTATCACTGGTCTGGACAAGAAAGATGCAGGTAAATACACCTGTGAGGCATCCAATAAATTTGGCAAGGTTTCACAGAGTGCTAAGGTGGTTATTGGCACTCAGGAACCTCAAGTTCTTCGTAAGGAGAAGCAGGTTAAACAAAGCACTGACAGTGAGACAGAGAGCTCGTCTGGCAGTGAGCTGGATGATGCTTTCCGTAAAGCAGGAAGGAGACTTCATAGACTCTTCTGGGCCAAGATCTCAACAGAGATATCTGATGTGGAGGAAGAGCTCTTTGTCAGTGCAGATGAAGGGGACATAGAGGTGGTCGACCATCAGACGTATCGTGAGGATGACAAGTACATCTACATCAAGTTTGAAATCTTGTCTGAGGCAAAAACTGCCGCCACTCGATTCAGAGAGATGTTTGGTGCTCTGGGAATTCCTGTGGAGATTGACATTTTGGAACAAGGCCCTAAAAAAATTGAATTGCGTATTGGGAAGGCAACACCACCCACCCATGGGAAGTTTGCACCACCAGTAGTGAGACCTCCACCACCTTTGCTGACTTCTGATACAGGTAGGTGAAGCAAACCTGTTTATTCTTTGGAAAAGATAGCTGGAGCAGGTCAGAATGTAATCTTTTCACTCACAAATAATTTCTGAAAACACTTTGGTTTTCATTTGGTGCAGATATTTTTCTGGAAACTTTGCACTTCTGGAAAAACTGATGAATTTTTTATTCTTTTTCATTTTGAGGGAGAGGAGGGAGGTTAGTGATGAAGGAGGGGGCTGCGAAGTATTCACTTATCTACAAAGCTGCTTTTTGCAATAGAAATGTCCCCTGCTACAATAATATGGCCATAAATGCTACAATTATTATACTTAAATAAATGAAACAGTTTTCAGAACAGTCCTGGTGGAGACAAGACGTTTCAGCAAGGAGAGGAACAGAGTCAATGTATAGTTTGCAGCTGTGGTATTGCAATGCTTATGGTGTAATGGAATATCTTCATGGTGTTTGTCAGGGAGTTTCTTCTTGACTGTTTTCATAGAGAAAAGATATCACTCTGCAATTAAAAAACCTAGAAACCAGAAGTCTTCAGGCACTGGGCAGCAGTGCTCTTAAAATACATCTTTTAACACAACCAGGTTTTTTCTTTCTTCTCTCCTAACTACCCTGACTTTAGCTCCCATGTTCATGACTGAGCTCCAAAACCAAGAGGTACAAGATGGATATCCAGTCAGCTTTGACTGCATTGTCGTTGGCAAACCGCTCCCCACGGTTCGCTGGTTCAAGGATGGGAAAGCTATTGAAGAAAACGATCATTACATGATCAATGAGGACCAGGAAGGGTGCCATCAGCTGATCATCACAGCTGTGGTCCCCACCGACATGGGTGTTTACCGTTGCCTCGCTGAAAACAACATGGGAGTTGCTTCAACCAAAGCTGAGCTTCGAGTGGA